CTCCTCTCTCCTGCCTTCTCCTCCTCTCCCCTCCCTTTCCTACTCATACCTCCCCTCCCTTTTTGCTCTGTGTGACTTCTCCAGGGCTGAATGCTGCTGCATCAGAAGCAATTCTTGGTCTCCTGGAAAGGTGCACAGTAAGGCCAGTCAGTTGGTAAGGATTTTTTTCCTCTTCCTTTTCCACCCCTACTCCCAAAAAATTGATTTCTTCTCCACCCCTACTCCCAAAAAATTGATTTCTTTTCAAGTTCTGCAGATCCTGTTTTCATGGTTATATTTCATATATGTAGAAATAGCCTGGGAACGTCTATAAGGAGGAAAAAGTGTAAGATTGCCTGGAAACTAGCTGCCTTTTTTTTCTCTCAGACTCACATTCCTGTTACAAGCCCATCTGCTTTTCCCTTGTTTGAAGAGGTGAATTAAATGCACGCAATCGATGTTTATCAGTGTGCAGTTAATAACCTTTCTTCTCTCAGTACCTGCCTGGAACTTCTTGTATTTGTGAAGCTGAAATTGTCTCTGCCTTCCCGGGGTCCTTGTCTCATGATGTTCAGACCTGGATTTGCGTTTAACTAGTTCATTGCCCATGTCCAGGAGAGTAAAAGTAAATTTGCTTGTAATGTGCACAGTGTTTACAGTTTCCTATCTCAGCCTTAGAAGAGCTGTTCTCTCTGTGTTCCCGGTGTTTTGTCTTGGGCTTTGCAGCGAGTGTAAATATTTTCTTTGCTGCTGGTGCTTGAATAATGTGTGTATGAGAGTCTGTTAAACAATCTGGAGGAGAAAGAGTAAAGAGATGCTTGTCATCCCACGGAAGGAGGCAGGCAGTTTGTGCTACCAGTGATGAAAATCTCCTGCAGCAGTCCAGGTGTCTGCCCTGGGAATGACAATGCAGAAATAGAGAGACGTGCTCCACTAGAGGAGAGAGAAGTAAGTTTAATGTGGGAGAGATGCAAGAAAGGGCAGTCTAATTAGAGAAGTCCTAGAAAGGAGTTTTCCTTTCAAAATAATTATAATCTCCACTCATGTCATGGAACACTGCAGTGAAATGTCCACTGTTATTTGTATCTAGCTTCTTTGATACAGTAATAGATTTTTTTAGGCACTGTGGCTGAAGAAGGATATTAAATAGTAAAGGAGCAACTAGATCTCCTTTCTCTTTTTCCCTCCAACAACTTCAAATCTGTCTGTCTGAAGAAGTGGTCTATAAATAACTGAATTTGCCTCAATTTAAACAGATAGGACTGAAACCTTAAAGGATGTTGATTTGGTGCTGACTCTCTGCAGGTTGTAGAGGTTATGTTGGAGGGCAGGGATGGAATAGGATCATTTCTGCAGGCTGTTCTAGCCAAAGCATTCCTTGAAGGGAAGAATGAGAGCAGTGGCTGCAGTACAGGAGTGCTTTGATCTGGTTCACTCAACCTTTTTTTCCTTTTTTTTTTTCCTTAATAAAAAGTGCTGTCCTATTTGTGGACTATTTGTAAGA